CTTGTATGGTATTTAATCTTGCTGCTCAGAGGATTACTAGTCTCCTTGGGACAAACCAGGTTTCTGCCATGGATTCCCCTCCAGGGGTGAGAGTTTGGGGAGCTAGAGATTGAAGAAACCAGGACTTAGAAGTGTTTAGGCGCTAATGAGAACATCTACGTGCATGACCTCCAGCTCCATGTCCAGGAAAACATACTGGAACTCGCATGTAACCACAGACTTTTTGTGGGAAAGGCAGGGGCCTGCAGACCCTGGAAACACAGAATTAAGACATGGTTCCTGCTATTCAGGAGCCAGGAACATGATCGTGGAGTGCAGGCACATGCAGGCAGAGGCTGAGGTCTTAGGGGAAAGGGGTTCCCCGTGCCCCTGGACCTGGTACAGACCAGAAGTTGGCAATTCTGGGTTCTGGTCACCCCAGAGCCACCTGCTAGCCTTGTGTCTGAGGCAATCCAAATTTGACTCTAAAATCAGTCTGGCAGTCATCAGGGAGGTTAAGTGGGGTCATGTCAATTAAAGGGTTAAAGGGAAAGTCTTCTACATGAATATACAGGGCTCCTTTCTAACAAAGGCCCTAGAGCTCCCTGTCTTTCTGAGGTTGACACAGGTTGGCCGTGGAAATCAATGAGAAGCTATTTGCTCCTGATGCGCAGAGGCTACCCCAGCTTTGTGAGAAGTGGCAAGGGGTTACCCTAAGATGGAGAGCCTTTTGCCTATGGAGTCAGAGAGGACAGCCATAGGCTTAGCCTGGGAAGGCGTATCTCTAGCAGAGAGGGGGAGCAAGAGGCTTTGAGAGGCAAGGGGAATACAGGCTGCCTCCGCCACTCCAAGTCAGGACCCTTGAGGCCTCTGCATCCCCCGTGCCTGCACTGCCCTCCCAGGGTAGGCTTCCTCCCAAGATAGAGCCCAGTCTGAGCGGGAGGAGCAGGAAGGATGGGCCCAACCCTTGCTTCTCACCTCATTTTTCAGCGACATTAAACTTGACCCTGGCACAGACTGGGCTGCTGCTTGCTCTCTCCTGCCTGCTTTTCCTGTGCCCTCTGCTCTCCTAGTAAAGTTACAAGCCCTTAGAAGGGGATTCCCCCTCAGGAGAGGTTGGCCGAGGCCACTGGAAAGCCCAGGCCCTGTTTGGATATCTCCTCTCAGGCCCTGTCCCCTCTAATCTGAGGTAGCAAGGCCAGCAAATGCCTGCCCTTAAGGGGACAGGGTTAGATGTGTGACTTAATAAGGTTGAGAGCCACAAGTAATCCCCTAAGTACTTTGCCTTGTAACCTAAGATTATCTAGCCTGCAAACACCTGTTTTCACCCCTTTGCTGATAGTAGTATAAAAAGCTTGCTAGTTAATGACTCTAGGAACTGACAACCGGTGGAATGTACAAGTGTTTGTCCTACCTTGGAAGTAGCTCCTCGTGAGCCAGGCTGCACGTGCCTCGTCAGCAAGGTTGAGGGGGGACTGGAAGGGCTCACCCAAGTTTCCATCTATAAACAATCATTGGGACCTCAGTGGGGGAGACTGGAGGGTCAGCGTCAGGGTTTTGGGGGTGAGGGGGTTCTCTGCTTAGTGCAGCCAGCTACTAACTCCTTTACTTCTGGAGAGCAGGTCAGTCTAACTCCCGGATCTATGGGAGGGCGCCAGACACACACACACCCTCCCAGGAGAGGGAGCTAGATTGCGTAGACTCTTGAGAAGCAGCGCAAGTGCCAACCCTGTGAACTGACCAATCATGTTCTAATCATTTAGAACTGCAAGTCCCTGCTTCGGGTGGCACAGAAGATGTTGGCAATTTGTTGGAGAATCATTTCTCTGCTGGAGACGCAAGTCTAGAGGAGAAAGAAAGGGCGCTTTATGCAGATGCGGCCCCTCCAGACGAGAATCTGCTCCTTCACTACCCAGACGGCAGGGAGGCTGAGAGCTCGGAGCAGACCACCACTGGGGTCCCCCCCGCCGCCACCGGCCCGGGCTCTGAGCCCGAAGCCAGCCTCTCCAATGCCTCAGCTGCGGACTCAGCCTCCCCCGAGGATGCTGCTGGGCCTGGGGAGGGCGCGGAGGGATCACCGGTGGGAGGCGGCCTTCCTCTAGGAGGGGATGAGGGGCCCAGGGAAGAGGAGAGGCCAGAGCTCGGTTCAGGAGAGGAGGAGGCTGGGCTGGGGCTCTCCACAGAGGGGGCTGTTGATGGGGAGGCAGGAGTGCAGGTGGGGAATGGTGGAGTCCCCAAGGCAGCTGAGGGGGTTCTAGGAGACAGCCTTGTTCGGGGAGCAGCAGAAGAGGGGAGCACCGCGCCTAAAGCCACGGGAGTCTCCTCTGGCATGGAGGGTGAAGAGGCCCCTGCCGCCGAGACAGACCAGGCCTGCCCAGGATCTGATCACCAGCCAGCAGATCTGGATGGAGCCTTGGATACGGAAGGGTCAGCATCCGCCGCGGAATCCGGGTCTGCTGCAGATGCGGAAGCCGGCGAGGGTGCTGAAGTCCAGCTTCAGGTCGATGCCCCAGAGACAGAAGACGAGAGGAGCACAGCGCCCCTTCATCAGCCCACAGAGATGGAAGAAGCACCAGACACCACATCAGTTGGGGTAGAGTCAGAGGCCGAGATGGACACAGAAGCCGGGGAGGGGGCTGAGGACAAGGGCGAGGCTGGCCAGGCCGCAGAGGCCGGCGAAGAGTCCAGTGACGCTCAGAACTCTGGGGCTGGGGAGACTGGAGAGACGCGGTCCTCCAAGGACCAGGCGCCTGAAGAGGGCCCAGATGAGGCTTCCTCGGAGGAAGAGCTAGAAGAAGGCGTCAGCGAGGAGGAAGGAGGAGTTGTATCTGAAGAGGAGTCTGGAGAAGACAGTGGCGACGGGGCTAGCTCAGAAGAAGGAGGTGCCTCGGAGCAGGCTGGGGAACCCCAGGAAGCAGCAGCAGAAACTACGGAGCCTGGGGAGCAAGGAGCCCAGCACCACACAGAGGATCTGAACACAGAGCCGGAGGAGGGCGGTGAGGCCCAGGCCGCCGGGGCGCAGGAGCCTGAAGAGAAACCCGAGGGGAGGGGGAATCCTATCATTGCCACCCAGGGTAGGATTGAACTCCATAGGGAAACCCCAACAACACCTTGGGCGGTCATGTGCTTGATGGAAGTCTTGCATGTAGGGGGACAGACAGAGTAGGTAGGAGAGCCCCTAGCTAGTCCTGGGATGGCCAGGAGAGGGGCCTCATTGTGGACCCTGACCCCAGGAGCTACTCTCAGGTAGCCTCTTGTCACCTGTGGAGTTGCTGGGTGAGGTCCAGAAGGACATGGCCACCTACCTTTAAAGCCACTAAGTGTGCTCTAACATGGTCCAGTGTCTTGAGGACAAGGAGCCCGATGGCAGGCTCCAGGCTCCGGGATTGGCTGTGGATGGAGGTGGAGGGTGGATGGGAACCTCAGGTGTTGACTTCGTGGAGAGGTAACTGGGTCTCCCCTTGAAGGCCTTCCATAGGCGGCATGGGGAACTGGAGCTGAGGGCTGAGGATTTCGGCATGACAGTTCAAGCTGACCGTGGCACACTTAGGTCAGAGCATTCCTCAGAGGGCCAGGGGGTGGGAGAACACGGTGGGGGCCGTGGAAAGCTATCGGGTAGAGTTAGACATGTATCTGATTCTAGAGATGGCAGGACCTGCAGGCCTCACCCCCAGTCTGTGTGGACAGTGTCGCTGGCTTTCAGGGTCAATGTTGGGGTCAGGTTGTCACTTGCCCAGATGGCTTTCCCACAGCTTGCCTCAATGCACATACTACCTGTCAGGCACTTGCATGCTCTGTAAAGGGGCCAGTTCTGACATCAGTAAGGTCCTCTCATTTTCTTGGTCCTCCTTGCTCTGGGTCTTGATCAGGGTCTGCTTAGGTTTGATCTTCTGAGATGCTTTGGGAGATAGAATGGCTGATACTGGACTCCTGCCCCACAGGCTTAAGTCTGCGTCTTCCTAACCTGCGATCCTCTGCGTAGGCAGCTTGGCTAAAGACCTTATGGCTGTGACCTTAAGGCCCCAGGGACATGAGCAACACAAGTGTGGGACTGGCAGCAGAGGATGAAGGTGTTGTCATCTCTTGCTTGCTTGATTAGAAGGACAGCTGACCCCACCCAACACACACACACACACACACACACACACACACACACACACACACACGATAGACTGCAGCAGCTCCTTCTTCCCTGCTTCCTGCTAGTGTAGTCTTGATAAGATGTGCATTCCATTGGTGGGTTGTCTGCTTAGAGCCTCACAGTAACTCCAGTTGCCTTGGGATGAGATGCAAAAGCCCTTCAGCGGAGCTGTCTGCTCAGCTCCTTTGCAGTTCTTCATCTCCGTGGCACCCGTCCCTCCCTCCCTCATTAAACAGCTGTGTCATAGCCCACCCCTCTCCCTACTTCACTAATTAACTCCTGTGGAGCAGCAGACCCTAGAGAGGCCTCTCCTGATCCCTGCTAAGCCTTCAGTACACTTTTTAGGCCTTCCAAGTGCCAGGGAGATTTCCTCCTGCAGCTTCTTCACTGTTTTAAAGCCTTTTGCATATTAAATTTAAAAAATGTTCAGCTCTATCCCTCTGGATTATAAGAGAGCTCCAGAAGAACAGAAGCTGTGCCAGGATGGGCCCCACTGTATTCCATCCTGAGGCTTCCAATTTAGCACATAATAGTCACTCAGTGCATTCATTTATTTAGGTAAGTTTTGAGACCGAGTTGCATTATGCAGCCCAAGCTGGTCTTGATTTGCCGCTTTCTCGCTTCATTCTCTTGCGTATGGGGCTTACAGGTGTGCTCTGCCATGCTCAGCACTCCATACTTTTTTTTTTTTCCTCCTTGAATAAATAGAACCGGTCATGGCTCTTAGACGTTGAGTTCAGATTTTCAGATTCCAGAACTCAGTTCAGTTCAAACTGGCAACTTTGTTCAGTACCTACTAGAGGCCCAGCCCTGGACCATGTCTGAGCACTTAGTACTCATCTGTCTTAGCTTTGTCCTGACTCCCTGTTTCTCTCCCTAGAAGAGGCAGAGGATGTGAGTGAAGAAGCACCTTTGAGGGACCGCTCCCACATCGAGAAAACCCTGATGCTGAATGAAGACAAGCCAGCCGATGATTACTCAGGTAAAGAGAGGAGGGAGCCTTGGAGGTGACGGGGGGGGGGGGGGGGGGGGGCGGGGAGAGGCCGCTGTAGCTCCACAGCCAGAGGAAGGGAGAGCCCCAGAGGTGTGGGCTCTGTGAAAGCAAAAGGCTCAATGTAAGTGTGAAGGGCAGATTCCGGGGCAGCCACCTGTAGGACATGCCAGCCTCTGTGCCCTGAGGGAGGATGGTTCATAAGGATTCATCCCATGTGCTTTTTTTTTTTTAAGCTTACAAAGCTCTTTCATGCCAGTCGTTTCATTTCCATGCTCATAATAACCCAAGGATTTTAGTGGGCTGTCTCCTGTGACGAGCTAGCCAAGCTCAGAGCTAGGCGATGATTTGCTCTTGGCACCCAGCCCAGAGAGCGGCAGAACAGGGCTGGACCTTTGCTAGCCTGACCCTCTGTCTGTCCATTGCTCTGGGCAGGGGCCACACCGTCCTCCTGTGTTGCATATCTGGCACCTACCAGCTGCTGCTCCAGGAGGACTGTGAGGCCCCTCTTAGGGGCAGTGGGGATTGCAGTGATGGGCACAGGCCAGGGTGGCCGTGCTGTAGGCCTGCCGGGCATCTAGCTTCTTACTCTCATGGCCTACGGCTGCCCAAGCAGGGTGGATGGTGGAGAGAAAGAGATGGGGTTCTGTCTCCAAGGAAAGGACTTTCCCATGGGTCAGTGTTTCTGGATAAGGAGGAGAGAGGGGTTTTGTTGTTTTTGTTTTGTTTTCCTAGAAAAATAGCTCAAGAGGCTTTGCGGGTAGGTAGGAGAGTGCTCTTGAGGATCTCTAATGGTTGGAATGTGGACCAACTCTGGTCACCACGAGTGTGAGCACATCACACCACCTCTGGGCAGCAGACAGCCCTTGTTCCCCACTTGCCTGGGGTGTGAGATTGTTCTACAGTGAGAGCACCTGGAGCCCGCCTTGCCTGATGCTCTCCCCTCGTTCTTCTCTGTCCCCCCCCCCCCCCCCCCACAGCGGTGCTACAGCGGCTTCGAAAGATCTACCATACATCCATCAAGCCTCTGGAGCAATCGTACAAATACAACGAGCTTCGGCAACATGAGATTACAGGTACAGCAGTGGGCCAGCGTCAGGGCAACCTCTGAGCCACCTAGACTCCCCTAGTGACTGCGGGGCTCAGTGTAGCTCACAAGCTCCAGGAGCAAGGTGTGTTCTAGTGTCAGAGCCCAGCTGTCCTGAGGAGTGCGCAGGCCCGGGACGTCAGTCCTGTGCAGAGCTCTGTCAGGGTTTGGCAGGCAGCATTTCATTGTTCAGTGTGCATGTCTCAGAAGTACAGACTTAGCCAGACACTAGTGGCTCTTGCCTGTAATCCTAACTACTCAAGAGGCTGAGATCTGAGGATCACGGTTCAAAGCCAGCACAGGCAGGAAAAGTCTGTGAGACTCTTATCTTCAGAAAACTGGAAGTGGTGCTGTGGCTCAAATGGTAGAGCACTAGCCTTGAGCTGAAGAGCCTAGGGACAGAGTTCAGCTGACAGAGAAGTGTAGACTTGATGTCCTGGGCGGTGATGCCAGCTTAGACCCTCTTATGCTCAAGAGCCGTTCAAGGCTCCTTGTTCACACAAGAATGGCGGTTTCTCAGCCTCTAATCAGCTGGGATTTCTTTTCCCCTCTCTATTTCTCTTCTCAGATGGCTTTCCTTGGGTCTAGACCCTTTTTGTTATGTTTTGAAACAGGATCTGGTTAGGTAGTCAGGCAGGCCTGTGACTGTTTCTTCTCTAAGGCAACATTCCCTGTTCCACAACTTCCTGTACTGTTCCTCGCATGCCTACAAGCCAATTCTCCTCTCTGCCTCCAGGACCCTGTTGTGAAGTCACACGGTCTCCCAGGGGCTTCCCTCCGCACTGGCCTTCTAGCCCTGACACCAAGCATGGCATGGCCCTCCCAGGAAACTCTGGCCTTAAAGCAGCGGAGGCCGGGAGGCTGCTGTCTGCCCCAGGAGTGGCGCTCCGCAAGAAGGGCCTGTGTTCCTGGCTTCTGCCCTCACTTTCTGGACTTGGCTCATTTTCCTTAGTCTCTTGCCAGCTTTCTGCATGACCTCCTATCCCTGGGGCTCATGGCTGGCCCCATCGCTGGCCTCCCACACATGCCTGCAATGCCCCCTGCCGTGGATAGCCGGAACAGCAGCACTGGGAAGCTCTAGCCGTGATCAGTCTGAGTTCTCAGGTTTAGAGTTGGCCTTGGTGTCACTTGGGCCTGTAACATGGCTTTTGGTGAAATCTCTGTAGCCGTACATCTGCCACTCTCTCAGCCTGCCAGTCCTCTCTGCCCTCAGCCATATGGGGTTCATGTGTGTATTTAAAACAGGCAAGGAAGGAAGGAGCAGGAACACAGTATTACTTCCAGGCTGGCCACTTATAAGACATCATATTCAACTGGGTAAGGTGGCTCATACCTGTATAATCCAAGCTACTCAGGAGGCTTAGACCTGGAGGATTACAGTTCAAAGCTAGCTTGGGCAGAAAAGTTGATGAGATTCCATCTCCAATTAACTAGCAAAATGCTGAATTAGAGGCATGGTTTATGGCATGAATACATCATCAGCAATCAAAACTAGCAAGAAAGAACATGAGTTCATGCACCAGCACCAGCACACAAAAATGTGATGATAGGGTATCTACAGTCCTGCATATGCATGCAGTAAGATATCTGAAAGCAATATGCTATACATGAGCCTTTGTATTGGGCACAGGGTGCAGAAGCCTGTAATCCCAGTCCTCAGAAGGCTGAGGAAGGAGAATCTCATGTTTGAGGCAGCCTGGGTTGCATTGTGACACACTGTCTCAAAAAATTGAGAAGAAAGCTGGGCGCCAGAGGCGCATGCCTGTAATCCTACCACCAGCACCTGGCTCTGTCTTCCTCTTTTTTTTTTTTTTTTTTTTTTGTGGCCAGTCCTGGGGCTTGAACTCAGGGCCTGGGCACTGTCCTTGAGCTTCTTTTTGCTCAAGGCTAGCGCTCTACCACTTGAACCACAGCACCACTTCCAGCCTTTTCTGTGTATGTGGTACTGAGGAACGGGACCCAGGGCTTCATGTTTGCTAGGCAGCACTGTAACACTAAGCAACACTCCCAGTCCTGACTTCCTTTTTTTATGAACCATTATCCTCCAAGTTTAGCCAGGAGATCTCACCCAGGGTAGTGTTGAGCCAGCGTATTAATTCACTTAGATTTTCCTCCTGGTACAGGAAGATGTGCCAAGGATATGTAGGTAAGTCAAAACCATGATTTCTGGGGTGTTTTAACTAAGTAATTGTACTTAAATAGAGAGCAAGAAAGGTGGTACTGACTGCTGTACACGGATCCCCTCCCTTCCCCCACAGACTCCAACAACCCAAGTGGACAACTGGGGGGGCAGAGTTCTCTGGACATAGTGCTCCTACAATGAGATCTATCATTTTTCACTCCTGTTCCTAATTCCTACTTTCCACAGATGGGGAGATTACTTCCAAGCCAATGGTGTTGTTCCTGGGCCCGTGGAGTGTCGGTAAATCCACCATGATAAACTACCTCCTAGGGTTGGAAGATACGCGGTACCAGCTCTATACAGGTGAGCAATGTCTGAGTGACTGTTGGTAGTTGAATGGCGTATGTGAAAGTACTAGGAAAAAAATGACGATATTGATGTAGATCTTCAATATGATTGTGGGAACCACAACAAGAGGCTGGCAGCCACACCATGCCCACATGATTCAACGGGAGCCCAGAGTTGAAACAACTCAGATGTCTACGGGTGGATGAATGGATAACCAAAATGTGGTCTGTTCGTACAGTGGAATGCTAGCATTAGAAAGGAGTGATGCATACTGTCAGGATGCATCAGACATTTCTGACACCTTACATGTGACGTAACACCAGGCACAAAGGACACCAACTGTATGATTCCACTCATATGAGGAGTCACGCCTACCTACAATAGGAAAACTCACAGGGACAGAGGTAGATAGAGGTTGCTGGGGGTGGGAAAGTTGTAAGAGTTAGTATTTAACGGGTACCAAGTTGTAGCTTGGGAAGACAAACAGGTTCTGGAGATGGATAGTGGTGATTGTTTTGCAATAGTGCAAATGTACTTATTGCCACTCAACTGTACGTTTAAAGACGGTTGAGGTGGTATATGCTATGTTCTGTGTCTTTTACCACAATTAAATTGAAAAAGGGAACCACTAGCATAGCACATACAGCCTGTGCTGTGGCCAACTCCTTCTGAGGCTCCTTGCCTCCCACGTCTTTTGCAGTGGTGTCCTCATGATCACTGTCTGCACACATCTCACCCACCCATGCAGGTGCTGAGCCCACCACCTCCGAGTTCACAGTCCTCATGCATGGGCCCAAGCTCAAAACCATCGAGGGCATTGTCATGGCTGCTGACAGTGCCAGGTCCTTCTCACCCCTGGAGAAGTTCGGCCAGAATTTCCTGGAGAAGCTGATTGGTATCGAAGTTCCCCACAAACTTCTAGAGCGGGTCACTTTTGTGGACACACCAGGCATCATTGAGAACCGCAAGCAGCAAGAGAGAGGTAATTTAGCACCCATTTCTTTTTTTTTTGTTTGTTTGTTTTTTTGGTCCGGTCGTGGGGCCTGAACTCTGGGCCTGGGCGCTGTCCCTCAGCTCTTCAGCTCAAGGCTAGCGCTCTACCACTTGAGCCACAGCGCCACTTCCGGCTTTTTTCTTTCTGCTTATGTGGTGCTGAGGAATCGAACCCAGGGCCTGGAGCATACAAGGCAAGCGCTCTACCACTGAGCCACCTTCCCAGCCCCTAGCATCCATTTCTAAACAGCAGGATCTCTGTCTTAGAAACCAACCATCTAGCCAGGTGCCAGTGGCTCATGCCTGTAATCCTAGATGCTCAGGAGACTGAGATCTGAGGATTGTGGTTCGAAGCCAGCATGGGCAGAAAGTCCCTGTGAAGACTCTTATCTCCAATTAACCACTCAGAAACCAGAATGGAGCTGTGGCTAAAAGTGCTAGCCTTGAGCAAAAGAGCTCAGGGATGATGCCCAGGCCCCCGTTCAAGCCTCACAACTGACAAATAAATAAATAATAAAATCCCTTTCTAAACTCCCCTCCACCGTGGGTAGAAGGCAGGCTGGAGGGGTGGGTGGGCTGGCCAGGGGAGGAAGTATGACCAGCATTGCCCAAGACCAGGCTTTGCACTCTACCTCATCCACCCCTTCTCTGTCACTGTGATCCCCTTGGGCTTTGAAGGAGTCTTGACCCCTTCCTACTTTGCCAAGAACTGACTTGGTTTGGAGGCTGTTGGTATTTTCTCAAGGGAAGGCCTAGTCTTCTCTACAGGAATTTCTGGCGGTCCAAGTTGGGGCCCAGTTGCCTTTGGGAGACCCAACCTGTTCAGGGTAGCAATTAGATCCTAGTCAGGTTTATTTGAGTTCTGGCTGAGTTGGATCTAAGGCTTCTGTACTTGTTCTAGGTGGGACCTAACTAACTTTCCTTATTTCCACTTTCTGCCTTGTCAGGCCTGCTTCAGTCTAAGCCTTAATCAGCCTTTGTAGACCCTTGCTTGCTTTCAGGTGGCAGAGGAATGTCACTTTGGGCCTGGCAGGCATGAAACTAAGGCAGAGACCACTAAGCGCTGCGATGCAAAACCATCCGCAGCCCTAAACAAGGCAGTCGTAGGAAAAACTGAGCAGATGGCATGTCTTCATTTGTGGTTATGACTTTCATAGACCCTGTTTTGTTAGTAATAGTATTATTGCTCATAATTATAACAGTAAGTCAACACTACAGCCCTGATACTGATTATATATCAGATAATTTGATACATTATTGGTAGGTCATTGTAGAAAAAAATTCAATGTTTTCAAGATAGGAGGTTCTTTCTTTCTTTCTTTTTTTTTTGGGGTCCGGTTGTGGGGCCTGAATTCTGGGCCTGGGCGCTGTCCCTCAGCTCTTCAGCTCACGGCTAGCGCTCTACCACTTGAGCTACAGCGCCAGTTCCGGCTTTTTTCTTTTTGCTTATGTGGTGCTGAGGAATCGAACCCAGGGCCTCATGCATGCAAGACAAGCGCTCTACCACTGAGTCACCTTCCCAGCCCAGGAGGTTCTTATTTCCTCCTTTAGAGAACAAGAAAGTTGAAGAAAGAAGGAAAAGGCACTAAAATATCATGGGCACCGCTTTAATTAGGTGCATTAACTAAGTGCTTTTCTCTTTTATAACAGCACAGTCCTCTTTTCTTACTGCTCTTCTTCTCATACTCTCTTCCTGGCCAGTGGCAAAGCCAAATTCCTGTCCAGGTCTTGATATTATATCTGTGTTTCTTCTAAACCCTGCACCCTCTCTCATTCTTCTGCTTCCGTAACTTTTTTTTTTCCCAACATCTTTGCCATTGCCCTAGATCTTTTAAGACACTTGGAAAATCTCTACTTGGAGCAAGTATTTTGCATTCCTAGAGACTTGGATCCCATTGTAGATTAAAGCAGAGTTCAGGCTGTTCTTGGTTGAAGGCTGACAAAGGGCAGGAATAGTTCTTTAGAAACCCAGAAAATTCCCAACGCTATGACTTCTTTCCACACATGAATGGAATCGTTCTGGAGGGAGAGGCAAAGGGCTTTGTGTGAGCCACCGTCAGCCTGACTTCTCATTCCTGTCTCCCCAAGGTTATCCCTTCAACGACGTGTGCCAGTGGTTCATTGACAGAGCTGACCTCATCTTTGTCGTTTTCGACCCTACCAAGCTGGATGTAGGTCTGGAGCTGGAGACGCTCTTCCGCCAGCTGAAGGGACGTGAGTCCCAGATAAGGATCATCCTGAACAAGGCAGACAATCTGGCAACACAGATGCTCATGCGTGTGTACGGGGCCCTCTTCTGGAGCTTGGCACCTCTCATCAACGTCACAGAGCCCCCTCGGGTTTATGTCAGCTCCTTCTGGCCACAAGACTATAAGCCTGACACCCACCGGGAACTGTTCCTCAAAGAAGAGATCTCCCTCCTGGAAGATCTGAACCAAGTGATTGAGAACAGGTTGGAGAATAAGATCGCCTTCATCCGCCAGCATGCCATCCGGGTCCGTATTCATGCTCTTTTGGTTGACCGCTATCTTCAGACTTACAGGGACAAAATGACCTTCTTCAGTGATGGAGAACTGGTCTTTAAGGACATTGTGGAGGATCCTGATAAATTCTACATCTTCAAGACCATCCTGGCAAAGACCAATGTCAGCAAGTTTGACCTTCCCAACCGTGAGGCCTACAAGGACTTCTTCGGCATCAACCCCATTTCCAATTTCAAACTCCTCTCTCAACAGTGCTCTTACATGGGAGGTTGTTTTCTGGAGAAGATCGAGCGGGCCATAACCCAGGAGCTCCCCGGCCTCCTGGGGAGCCTTGGGCTTGGGAAGAATCCAGGTGTTCCCAACTGTGACAAAACAGGGTGTGGCGAGACCCCAAAGAATCGCTACAAGAAGCACTAGGGTTGTGTGTAGCTGTTCTCGGGTCCCTGTTGGAGAATGAGCTTGCATCCTAAATGTCTGAGAAGTCCTGGTTTATTAACCCTTTGAGTCACACTGGCGAGAATCCGTACACAGTGGAGATTTGGGAGTTGGGGTGAGGCTGATGGTGGGGACAGGTGTGTGGATCTAGTGGGGGTAGAAAGTGGAAACTGTGAACTATAGTGTGCTTGTCTTGTTTCAGTGAGGAAGCCTGGCTGAGGAAGAGCCAGCAGCAACCCTTGCGTTTCCTGGGTCCTGTCTGGGAGGGACAGAGAACAGCTAAGTTCTAGTGCCTGCTAATTCAATGAGGGTCAAATAAGCTAAATGCAGTTGGAATTCCTTCCCCCTGTAAGCTGGGCAGATAGTGAAGCCCGAATGACAACTCCCTCCACACACAGTCAGTCTTTTGTTTGCTCCCCATTCATCCTCAGTTCCCTCTCAAGCTTGAGTTGACTTTCAGCAGTGGACAATCTCTGGAGTCTGAATCTACCTGGGTTTTAGCCTGTCCCAGGAACCTCTTCCCTGTTTCCCCAAGGAGGGTGCCAGTGCCTAGCGAACAAGAGCTCCCAGGTCAGGGTGAAGGCCAGTCTCCCTACGTGTGGCATTTCTTTGATATTTCAGCTGGGGAGCTCAGGCACTCCATTGGCCATGAGAGGAGGGTGAGTGGGTGGTGTCTTCAGGCCATTCCCCTCTTGGAAATGACTGAAATGAAGGTACTAGAAGGGCTCAGGGGGTTAATTGGTTTGCAGTGTGTCTTTGTCTATTGCATGTCTTGGAAAACTCAGATCCTAAAGGCATTGGGTTTCAGAGAGGACAGTGGAGGCCTTGCTCCTTGGTCTTGGGGACTTCTCTGGGCAGTCACCCTCTCCCAAGTTTAGGGGGAGGCCATTTCTACAGCTTCTCTGTGGAAACATGGCAGAGGTGTTGCTGCTTCCGGATCCCATTACCATGGCTTTTCCTTTCTCCTCCATTTCCTCATGCATCAATACTTAAAACTCAGAATTTTCCTAGGATCAGATCCAGCACCAGCCATTCGGCACCTACCCCTATGGCAACCAAGGCCTAAGGTCCAATTTCTACTTGCGTGTGAGGCAGGTGAATGTACCACAGGTCAGCCAAACACCAGTGAGTGTAAATTTGTGTGTCCATCATCAAAGAGAGAGATTGAGGAAATGATATACCCAAGGGGACAGAAAAAGAACTCCTTGTGAGAGTCTCATGAGGCCCACACATAGCACCACCTTGGAGGGGAAGGCCTGGGGCCTGGGCAGCCTTTTGATGGAGCATGCCCAGTGAACTCATGAGTGCGCAGGGGTGACCCAGAGTTGTCTCGAGCAGCTGTTCAAGCAACGCCAACAGCTCTTCTTGGGAGCAAACTGCCACTGATGCCTTGACCACAAGACGTGAGTATCTACCAGCACCAGAAGCTCATCTGGACCAGAGGAAGGCTGAGCCAGAGTTCCTTCCTCTGAGGGCCCAGGCTCATAAGCAGATCCCCATGACCCACGGGGTCCACATGGAGAACTGCAATGCAGGAGCTTGTGTTCTTCTGAATTCTTAGCAGCCGGCACCTTCTACCAGGGAGGCTTCTGCTTTGGACTTCTTTGTGGAGAACCTCCACACAAGAGAGCCAGAGCCCCCAGAGCTGCTTGGACACACAACACTGTTTCCAAGAAGCAAGTTAGTGGGAGAAGAGCCACCGTTTCTGCATGGGGGCATCCACGGAGCCTGGTGGCCGGGACTGATGCGCCTCAATGTGTCCTGGACTTTTCTTCCTTTAAAACAAACAGTCCCCTTATCTCTCCTCTCTATAACTTGCCCTTTTGGGAGACTGTTCCTCGTGCCTTTCTCTTTCATGGTCCTCATGCTTGTGGCTTGCTTTGGGCACATATGTTTTTGTTTTTTCTTTCTTTTTATTCAATGCAGTCAGGGGAATTAAAAAAAAAGTAGAACTGTATGGACCTCATCATAGCTGTCAGTGTCACCATTGCTTTGGGAGAAGCGGGTGCAGTGGGGCTGATAAACTCACACAATATTTGTATTTTTGAGGGGCTGCCTTCTCAGTGTGCTCTCTTGTGAATTTTTTTTTTTTTCTTTTCTCCATCTCTTTCCTTTTCTGTCTCTCCATTCTATTCCTCTTCTTATGCACTGACCTACCTTTTCTCTGTTGACCAGTACAGGTTAGAACCTGTACTATCCTTTGTCCAGCTCCATGGAGATAGATTTCAACCAGGATTCTCTTTTATTTTTATTTTTTGGATGGGGAGGCAGAGCTGGAAGTAGAGGAAATGTAGCATCTAGAGATTCCCCAGAAGGAGTAGTATTTGAATGGCTGTGCGGGAATGTGGCCAACCCTTTCCAGCGTTCTTTTCTATTCAAATTTCAGCAGGGAAAAAAAAAAGTCTCAATAAAGTTCCAATCTCTCTTTAACACCTTGTCGTTCCTTTAACACAGTGCTTGACATGTAGGCGCTCTTCACTCGTGTGTCGCTGTATCTACTGGAGCAGTAAAGAAGGTGACTGGGTTTTTACTTGCTTGTTTTGTTTCTTTGAGACAAGATCTTGCTATGTAGTTCAGGCTTGCCTCAAACTTGTCATCCTTCTGTCTCAGTCCCCAACGTGTTGGGAATTATAGGTGTGTGCCACATACCTGGTTTGACTGTGTGCTCTGTGCTGTATGTGGATGGTCCCCAGTTGAGGGGTGGGGAGAGTCTGGGGTGGGAGAGTGGCTGGAGTCATTGTGTGAATATATGAGTGGATTACAGATTATGGAGGAGTGTGTGCAGGCAGAAGTGTGGGTGAGGGAACCCTGGGAGACTAGGGCAGAGGTAGTCACAGAAAGCCAAAGTGTCAGTTCCTGATGTTGCAGGTGAAAAGGCCTTAGAAAACTCATGAGTAGCCAGGCATCGGTGGCCCACACTGTCATCCTAGCTACTCAGGAGGCTGAAAACTGAGGATGGCTGTTCAAAGCCAGCCTGGGCAGGAGACTCCGTGAGACTCTTATCTCCAATCAACTACTAGAAAACCAGAAGTGGCACCGTGGCTCAAGTGGTCTCTACCACTTGAGCGCTAACCTTGAGCTGAAGAGCTCAGGGACAGCGCCCAAGCCCAGAGTTCAGGCCCCAAGAGCAGTGACATAAAGCTGTCTGTAGGAAAGGAATAGTCCATAGGTTGTGCCCTCCTCTTAACCTAAGGAGAAACTATAAAGAAACTACAAAGAAAGATTTTTCTATTATTGTGTTTCCCACACTGTCTCTGGGGAAGGGAACCGGTTTCCAGATACCTAAAGTACCTGAGCTTCAGGCCTGGAAGCATGAGCACACTCACACTGACAGTCATAACAACCGGAGCTTTATGTGCATTATTGCATGTAAGCCTCACAGCAGCCCCGCAGGGAGGTGGCTGTACAGCACAGTTCAGCACACAGACTGGAATCTGATTAATCAGGATTGATCCTGGGTTTCCCCACATACTTAGCCTGAGGCAAATGACTGAACTCTCCTTTCACACTGATCGTCTCTCTGTGGTGGGGGGCGGGGGGAGGGAAGAGTTAATAGTGGGGATTAAATGATTTGGTACAGGGCTGGGAATGTGGCTTAGTGGTAGAGTGTTTGCCTAGCAAGCATGAAGCCCTGAGGTTCAATTCCTCAGTACCACATGAACAGAAAAAGCCCGAAGTGGTGCTGTGGCTCAAGTGGTAGAGTGCTAGCCTTGAGCTAAAAGAAGCTCAAGACTGTGCCCAGGCCCTGAATTCAAGCCCCAGGACTGGTGGAAAAAAATGATTCATGCAACATGCTTATTCATTATTCATGCTTTACGGATGAGACTAATGGTCAGAGTGATTAGGATGATGGCATGTGTGAGTGAGAGGGCCAGAGTTCTGCCCAACCCCCGGCTCTCCCTGTGGGTCATGCTAGGTTCCCTCTTTGCGTTACGTTAGGTGACATTGTACCTTTCTGATCCCAAGTCTTTTTCTCTTTTTCACAAACTGACAAAGTTCAGAATTGCTTCATTTTTTTTTTTTAATGGTTAGCCAGAACTTTGACTCTTGCTATGTAACACAATTCAAAGTATTGAAAAGTAACTTTTATCAGAAAATGTATTGAGGTATTTTCTAAACAAGAGAAATCTTGTTCACTTTTGATCTTCTCCATGATCTTATAAAATAGGTGGGGAAAGATAGATATATTTATTACCTCTAAATCCAAATCCAACACAAAAACTCAGTACACGCTGGGTACCAGTGGTTCACACCTATAATCCTAGCTACTCAGGAGGCTGAGATCTGAGGATCACAGTTCAAAGCTGGCCCAGTCAGGAAAGTCCCTGTGAGACTCTTATCTCCAGTTAACCACTCAAAAACTGGAAGCGGTGTTGTGGCTCAAGTGGTAGAGTGCTAGCCTTGAGCTGAAGAGCTGAAGGACAGTGCTCAAGACCAGAATTCAAGCTCCACAGCTGACAAACAAAACAAAACAAGACACCAGCACATCCAGAGAGGTCTAGAGAGTTTTGAGTTCACTCAACGAATACATGACAATACATGACCAAAATTGCTAAATCTCTATCCATCCAAATATTATTCTACTGTTTTGTTTTGGAGACATGGTCTATGTAGCCCAGGCTGTCCTTGAATTTGGTCCTTCAGCATCAGCCTCCCAAGTGCTAGCGTTAGAACAGTGTGCCACTCACTTAATTCTACCGCACAGATTTGTGATAATCTGTAATGCACAGTATATTTATCTCACACACTAAAAAAAATTGTATTTATGAGGGGTGCAAAATTATGTTTCCATTCTCAGCAAATTTCTGGATTTTTTTTCCAACCTAATTTAAAAAGATTTGGAAGTTTTCCATAGTTTCTATCCTGGGATAAACAGCCATCTAGTAAGAGCAACAAGGCACAGGATGGAGACTGATAACGGTAGTCCACAGGGATAAAGTGCCCTTTGCCAAACCGAACATTGGGATACATGGTCTGGAGAAAGATTTTCTTTTCTCTCGTTTTATTTGCTAGTCGTGGGGCTTGAATTCTGGGCCTGAGCGCTGTGCCTTTTTTGCTCACTCTACTACTTGAGCCGTAGGGCCACTTCTGGCTTTTTCTGGTGGTTAACTGAAGAGTCCCATGGCCTTTCCTTCCCGAGCTGACTGAGATCCTTAGATCTCAGCCTCCTAAGCAGCTAGGATTACAGGCGGGAGCCACAGGTGCCGGCGAGGTGGTGGTTGTCTAGAAGCACAGAAGACGCAGCTGGCAGCTGCACTGGGGTTGGCCGGAACCCGGCAGCAGGAGCTGCTGTCTGCCCGGGGTCTGGATGGGAGGCCCTGGATTTCTGTCTCCCCCGACGGCCTCACTCCTAAGAACCGGGAATCAGATGACCGAGCCCCATTAAGCAGGCGGAAGAAGCTCACGCCGGTAAATCCGCCCCGGCTGAGGACGTCCAAAGCTCTCTCCCCTCGTTGGCAGCCTTCCACACTTCGGTGCAGTGGGTCCCGGTGGGGTCGGTGAAGGTCGGGTGACAGGGCCCCACGAGGCCCTCCATCTTCCGGCCGGTGCTGGCGAGGCCACCGGCCGGAGCAAGAACCGCAGCATTGCGTGCCTTCGCGGGGATCCTCTCTACCTGGGCCCTGCGTTTCCTTCTTCTTCTTTTAACCTTTAAGTAGTTGTGCAAGGGGCTTCAACAGGGCAGGTTTCCAGCGGAGCGAATCTTGATCCATGATCCTGTGCTCACGGTGCCCTCGGCCCGGTCCTCACCTCGGCCAGATCGGGCCGGCGTTCCCGTCGTGGCTGGAGGGATCCCAGCCTTATGCCCCCGGGCGCTAGGTTTTCCTGACCGGGGAAACTGAGGCCTCACGAGGGCAGTGGGAGACAAGTGTCCGGGGAGGGAGAACCAGGGGCTGGGCTGAATGTGGTTTCCCTCTGCCAGCCCAGCTCCTCTCGTGAGATCAGCTCTCCCCGGAGAAGCCACGCCTGACCCGGCAGGTCCTGGACGGACCTTGCGACCGCCCGGGTCCTAAGTTCTAGGGTGGCAGAACCGGGTGTGAAATCAAAACCCAGGGAAGCGCGCGGGCGGGGAGGAGACGACGGGCACCCGGCGCAGGCGCACTGCGGCCCGGCGTGGTCCCGCTCCGGGCAGCCCCGCCCCCGGCAGCCCCGCCCCCGGGGGCGGCGCGCTTTGGGGCGCGTCACGCGCCGGCGCAGGCGCAGACGCCGGGGCGCGCGCGTCCCCTTCCAGTCAGGGGGAGGCGTCCTGAGCCGCGGAGTCGGGCGCAGCCCGCGGCGGGCGGCGGCTGGGTGCGGAGCGGGGCTGGCACGCGCAGCTTGAGACCTTGTGACCGGGCCGAGTTTGAATGGAGCGCCTTGTGCGCCCGCTGCCGTCGGAGCCCACGAGCCCCTCTCAGACCGTCGCTGACGCGCCCGAGGCGCCGCGGAGGCCGGAGGCCGCCCCGACGGGCACCGCGGGCCTGGGCTGTGCCCTCCGCCCTGGCGTCGCCCTGGAGTCGGCCCGGCTTGCCGGGGGGCTGGGGGGGGGCGGGGAGGAGGCTCAGGACCTGGAAACCACGGGAGAAATCCCGGAAGCCTCGCTGTGGGACCGGCGGAGAAGTCCAATGTGCGGAAAGTGCCATGCTGTGGAAACAACCTCAGAGAGTGCCGTGTGCAGGTATTAGAGTGACATTTTCACCCGAGGCCAGCCCCAGGTACAACACGAAACGAGGATCCGGAGAGCCCACCTGACGAGATCGAATTCCCCGCGGCCCTCCGATCCTGCCCGGCCTCGCCCCCACTGCGGGGCGCGGCAGGGGAGAGCTTCTGCAGAGGGGCCATACTCTGATTGGGGGGGCTCCCTGCGACCACTGCCCCCCCCCCCAGATCACTGATTTCACCAGCTGGAAAGGACTTTAGAGATTCAGTAGTATTCTCATCAAGAAGTCATCAGCTGGGGATGGATGTAGCGCAGTGGTAAGGGCGCTTTGCTTAGCAGATGCGGCCCTGAGTTCTATTCCCAGGGCCCCTCTCAAAAAGACAAAAACACAAAAAACAAAACCAAAGCAAAGCAACACAACCCTCCTCCCCCAGCCAAACCCCAAAGTCTCAAAAGCCGAAACATGAAAATGTTGTTAGCAACTATTTGAAACATGTCCAGGGAAGAGGATCTCAATCCAGAGCACTGCATCTCTTCAGGCAGGTTGCAGGACACTCTGTCTGGCCTCGAAGACAGGGGCCTCCCCAGCATTTCCCAGTGCAGAGGGGAGCATTTTCCTTTGGATAGTCTGTGAAGAGACTGTACAGTTAGTTGCTTCCTTACTCGAATCCTTGAGTATGTTAGAACTTAGGAAATGGCCTCTGTGGAGTTGATCAGTTGGTTGCTGAAATGAAACCAGAATTTGCTTCTGATTTCCTGGGCTTTTGACTGTTGCTTTGAAGTGGGGGTCATC